TAGAGCTATTCAGGGCAGGACTCTTCAACTATGCCATTAGAAGCGGACAACTAAACAAGGGGAAAGAGAAAACCTTATTCAAAAACGAGCAATGCGGCACATGCGCTAGCTCGTGACACACCACTTTTTGTACGCAAACTGCAGCAGTGGAAATTCAGACAGCTTAGCTGGGTAAAACAGTCTTCGTGCACTTCAAGATGGGTTGGGACACAGCCATGTCAGAAGCAATAAAGTAATCTAATGCACTCACTACTCATAAGGTTCCTGAAAACTCCTCGACAGTCGACGACCAGTTTCGCCCTTCTTGGGGCTCATCAGGTAGGCGCAGTCCCCGCTTTTCCGTCAATCTTATGTTCTACTTGAAACCAAATTGCACGAAATTAGCGAATATATATTATAAAATGTATGTTTATCGAGATATCCCGAATATCTTAGTGACCGAAACATGAGGCGGCCTGGTGCAGCACATTCAGTTGCCTGGAAACATCAAAACCGAGAGATTCAGCTGGGTTTCAGGTGAGTCTCTCGAAAAACCAAATTGGTTTGCAAATGAGTGTATATCCGTCAATGAAAGTAATGATTCATCGTTACATTGCTTGTCGAAATACTGCCAGGACTAGAAGCAACAGATGGTTGACCATAAGGAAATAAAAAGGGCCCAACGTCCTGGGGAACAAATATGATGCTACGCATGTGAATTGCGTCTGTGAATTGTTTTAGTTGCCGATAGAACAGAAATATATTCCGATCACGATAAACGACAGAATTGGCGCACTTTTTCCTGTCATTGTAAAAGTTAATCACACTGCCTCTCAGCCACTTGTGGTAGAAATATTTGGTGTCCAAACTACCATCCGAGAGATCGCCGATTCGAGACTCTCTAGAGTTTCGTAAAATACGCACTGCTGATGACTCGCAATAAAGATGGAATTGCTTTAGAATACTTTCTATCACAGAGTGAGTTCAAGTACAAAACGATATCTTCCCTCGTATTTGTAAACGTTCCTTTGACCAGCGTCTGCATCCTTGAACCACTTATCTATCCTTTCCTTCTTGTAATTGTTTAAAAAATGAACAAATGGCCAGTTTTTGTGAAAGAACGATTTTTCACGGGTTAAACAGGTTGCATACGGGGCCCACAGAAATGAGAAATGAAGGTACGAGTTTTCCTTCTGGTGGATTTGGCCATGGTTGTAGAAAGAGAGGCCACGATTTCAACCACCAATTTTGCAATCTATCCTGGAAAATGCGAACCCCTCTAACATATTTTTCCACAAACAACGCCAACAAATAACAAAACAGAGACAAAAATCATCATAGCGTACAAAATTGATCGATTTAGGATTTGAAATGAACTGTGAACTCGGGGGAGTTGGTGGCATTGAGACGAATGCAGTAAAATTGATTGTTGAAACTTAAAGGCAAAAGATATTTTAGAGAGAAACTGCTAAATTTGCTCGTTATTATGAAAAGTATATCCGTGGTGGGCGATATAATACAGAGCGAGTTCACCGAATGGTTTCGCAAAGAGGAATCTCCGGAAGATCTGTGTCATGGTAACTTTAAATAATTGCCTTGCATAATGAACCTTAGGCCATCCAATATACGGGCACTTGAAGTAGAGTTGACGGATAGGCCATGTTGAATGCTATTTGTTTAGATGCCATGCAAGGGGGAAGCTATTTCGATTGGTGAGCACTCAAGGACTGTACGTGCTTGATGGACCCCCAGAAACGGCAAAATCAACGGTAGGCCGTCGGAATTCTACACCACACTTACACACTGTGTTATTTCATACAAAAAACCCCATCATTTTTGAGTGGGTGACGTCACTTGTCATGAAGATTAGTTTGAGTAGTATGTTGTTGGTATGTCTGTTGGTATGTCTGATATCTGCACTGGAATACCTGTTTAATTTATGGACTGTCGGTTTACAAACTTACGACAATCAGAGCAGCTTTTTACCATGAAAAGAGATTTATTAATAATGCTGGCTATAAAGTTATGGCTTATAACTGTACCATTCCGGAGTTGCCTTTGACGATTACATCACCTGTCACGCTACACTGTGTTGGTTCAACAAATTTTGATTTTGACTGATGCAGGTTAGTAAGCAGATAATGATCCCTAATGTAACTGCTTATTTTGTATGTTTGTTAGAAAAAAATTATGGTGGTGAGGACTTAGACTGAGACGTAACTATACCAGTCTGTAAGCAATCCACCGGGATGGTGGATCTAGCACTGACTAACAGGGACTACGCGGTTACAAGCAATCAGCTACAGTTTTGAAAAATTAGACCTCCTCAACCATTTTAATGGCTTTCATGGGCATTGCACTACTCATAAAGTTGCTGAAAATCCGTCGACAGCGCACGACCGTTTTCGCCCTTCTTGGGGCTCATCAGGTAGGCGCAGTCCCCGAGTCTCCGTCAATCTTATGTTCTACTTGAAACCAAATTGCACGAAATTAGTGATATCTTGAATATCGTAGCGATGAAAAATGAGGTGGCCTGGTGCAGCACATTCAGTTGCCTGGAAACATCACAAATGAGCGATTCAGCTGGGTTTTAGGCGCGTCTCTCGAAAAACAAAAGTAGTTTGTAGATGAGTGTATTTTGCTAATTTCGTGCAATTTGGCTTCAAGTAGAACATAAGGTTGACGGAAGCTCGGGGACTTCGCCTACTTGATGAGCCCCAAGAAGGGCGAAACCGGTCGTGGGCTGTCTACGAAGTTTCAGCAACCTTGTGATTAGTGCATTACAAATATACATGCATCGCGATATCTTGAATATCGTAGCGACTGAAACCTGAGGCAGCCTGGTGCAGAACATTCAGTTTACTGGAAACATCACAAACGAGAGATTCAGCTGGGTTGCAGGTAAGTCTCTCACAAAGCCAAATTAGTTTGCAAATGTGCGTATTTTGCTAACATCGAATCTTCGTTTTTGTATTTGTAGAATTCATTTCAAGACACTACTATCCACATAAACATGCCCCTCTTCCAGCGTCCAGAAACATCCGATATCATTTTACCAGGCCTGTGCTTGGTTGTTTGAGTGTCCGGCCACTTGCTCTCAAGTTTTTGAATTTTTGATTTTAACGGTTTGACAAACGTCCCTATTTATTAAAAATGTGACAGCTTTGCGGCTGACAGGCTTGTTCAGGTTTACACCACCGGGTAAACGTGGTTTTACTTCCTTCAGTTATTAGAAACAGATTTAAAATGAACTATTACTTTTTCGTCCGATAGCTGCGTGAAAAACTATTGGTGTGAAAACTTTTACCCAGCAGAAAAATATGCAAAAGAAAAAAGATATCTCTGGGGCCGTCCCACAGCCAAAATAAAATGAGGTTTAATCACGCGAAAAATAGTCACGGCCATGAAAGCGTTATGGCGCACTGAAGATTACTTGGCCACTCGCTTCAGCTACGCACCAGAGGCAGTAACCGAGGGAAATAAACAGCTCGCATGAGTTCGCGCCATTTAGTGCATGAGTGGGTCTCTAACCAATGAACACTAGTTACTATGCACTCATTTCGTGGTAGACCAGTAAACACCATCAATTCGACTGTTTTCGATGGTTACGAATTCCTGTGCTCAACGCAGTCGAGAGCATTTCGTTGGGCCTAGTTCAGAGCGAAAGACTGAAAGATCAGCCAGGACAATCAGTTTGCTTGCTGATTTTGAGTACGGGTTTTGTTTTGGAGCAGGAATTAGGAAGACAATGTCTTTTTAGATATAAACTGGCCTGACGCTTCCAGAACCGATTCGGCAACATTGATGTACAAAACAGACAACTGGCGCAACCTTGTTGTTTGTTCATACGCAGAACGAGAATGTCTAGTATTTTGGTAGACAATGATAGAGCCATGCCCGGAGGAAAGAAAATTTTTACATCTAACACGTGATACATAGCACGCAAGAATGAGACCTTTTGTGAAGTAACTTTTGTTGTTATCTTTCTTCATGGTGTCATTGCACTTTATTAATGTGTATCTCCCAATGACTGCTCAAACTGTATTCTACAAACGCCGCTGGAAAGAGGACTTTGGATGCAAACATATCCTAATTCTTTCATTCTCAAACAAATTTGGTTTCCCGAAAGTCTCACCTGGAACCCTACCAATTCTCTCGTTTATGATGTTTTCAGTAGTGTATTACGTCTATACATGGCCTAATTCTGTTTGTATCACTTTCACTGTAAATTGTTTACTTATCGGTTTTCATTATTCGAGTACATCGCCAACACGATGATTGTTTTTCCTTCATAGAAAACATCTTTGCGACAAAAATAGTGAAAAAAATATTACAAGATCTAGAAAACAGCAATCAAATAACTGTGAGACCATCAGACACTCAAAACTCGTCTTTTGTTTCTTTTTTCTCGCAGACATATGGAAGCAAACTAAGGAGCAAACTGAGTCTGCAGTTACAGAAAGGTAAGGTTCAGCCTCTTTTATTTCCCATGTTATACTCAATAGCCCAAAGAGAAGGGTGTGCTACTTCATTATACACTGTAACTTCTGAGAACATTCGCTCTAGCGAGAAGTATGGGAGAAATGTATAATAAAAGCCATACAAAGACTACATAGATTTTATATAATACAGAGTGCTAATTATGAGGATTTGCGTGAAGCACGTCCCGAATAACTTTAGCCCAACCAGAAAAGGTGGCATATAACATTTAATATAAAATATGCTAAGGGTTTCTTGCTTCTGTCTCCGGCAACTTGCCGATGTAAAAATCACAGAAAGACAGTAATTTGCTTCCAGATGCTATGTTCTTTTGTAATTAGGTGGAATGGTTTAATAAATAAACATTTTTAGCACCAACACTAATGGATTTGCTTTTTTTGTGGTGACAAGGTCACTGGATATGTTCAGGAAACATGTCACCGCGGCCGAGCCCATGTAGGCGAATTGAGCGTAAAATCATCTGTCCGCTGTGTACCCCTCTAAAGTGACCGTCATTTGTCACTGACAATGATTATTCGGACACACCTACCACTAATGACAATAATAAACAACAGTTATCCTCATCAGCGTGGGAAAAAAATTCTAGAAACTCTCATTTTCCTGATTAAATCGATTTCCCATAGTTGCATTGCAATAGAGATGTTCTTAGAATACATAAGCCAGAAAGCAGGGCTCCTTCTAGCTGCGCTGAGAAAAATTCGTTCCGGTAAAATTACCGGAAAAACTGCAGGCAGTTTTCAGATCATCATCATCATCGACAGCATGAAATCAGTGTTCAACACCGATGCTTCATTGCCGTACAACCATGATTTATTTGAAAGCCTTATTGTAAAGGAAAGAGTAAAGGTGGACGGAGAAGGGACTTAGTGCTAGCTTACCACAATCATTCCGAGGTG